GATTATTTTTTGGCCGAAGATTGTAAATCCATTACAAAAAAATGATTGAGAGACAGCTTTATTATATTATTAATTCATACAATCTTGTAATGGATTTGATAATTAATTCTTTTTAGTCTCTTATAACTTATTATATTATATGTATTTATTTATTTAAGGATAGTTAAAAAATTATATAAATAGTTATATTAAAATTGTGTAAAAAATTATCCATATATCATTATGCATTTGTTACATAATAGTATGTTTGAGTTGAGAAAAATGAAGAAGAGGAAAAGAATTTTTGACCAATTAAATTTCAATATTTAAAAAATATTCTAATTTGATTAGTTAAAAAACTTTTTTTTCTCTTTCTCCCCCTTCCATTCTCCTCAACCAAAATACAGGATAAAGCTTTTGAGAGTTTAATTTTGTTACCATCCAAAAGAGCTAGAAAGTTTAATTTTGTGATGATAATTAAGCAAAATTAGGTTGAGAGGATATACTTAATCATTAAGGTAAGAGAGAATATACTTAATCATTAAGGTAAGAGTTTAAGCATTTTTGGTTATATGATGTGATCAATTTGTGAATTTTCTTTCCAAATTTGTTGCTATAAAATTAGGAAATTGAAGGGAATGAGAAACGAAAATATAGGTATTAAGGAAATTGGTGGCCCTTTCTCTTTTTGGCAATGGGAAAGTGTGACTTAAATCTCACATGATTCATGCCAGTGTGGCAATATTGCTGTCAAGTAGGACCCCAAGATATTTCTAAAGAAAAAATTATTAATATATTTTTTGGTTTGATATATATTTTAATATTTTTTCAGTTTAATCATTAAAATATAATATAAGTATAGTCAATTCAACTAGTTTCTTTATCTTATATATATAACTACATCTTTAAATTTGTTTATATTTAATTTCAAATCACAAAATAATAATATTTTTACTAAATATATTATGTAATATGTTAAATTAGAAGATATATCAATTAGTTTTCATTTCTAAATGATGTTTGTTTATTTGCCAATAGAAAATTTCCATTAATTTTGACATTTAGATTTATAATAGATGTAATGTAAATCATAATTTTTTTAAAAGAAAATCTTACAAGTGTTTGTTTTAGAGTTTCAAAATCATTTATTAGTTATATATATATCAGCAAAAATATTTGTTATTATTATGAAGTATAAGCAGTTCTCTACCCATTAAATAGCATACAATATCACAGGGACATTCTATTTACAGAGCAGCATAAAATAAATTTAACTTAAGCATGCAGTTCCTAATTCTTACCACCTTTCCAACAGCAAAGCTAATGATCACTTTTAAAGCTATCAGGCCTAAATAAGATTATTGCATAGGCAGGGATGACGCCTCGCTAGGGGACTTAAATCAGCATGCAGAAGATAAATCTGGCCATAAATTAGCTTTAAACCAAGAATACGATCGAGTTGAACTTGATTAGTTCTAATATACCTTGCTTGGAGAATCTTTTTCTGCAGTAAATTAAGACCCCGCTATTACGCCACAACCATAAGGACCATAAGGTGGGAAGCCATACTACCGTCCAAGCTTCGCGTCTCAGTCCAACATATGCCGTAGCAGATGCTTCCAACCTCGTAGGTGAGATGCCACTTGAAATCCCCACCAATTGTGGCATGAAGTCCAAATTAGCCAAGCTGTTTTGCATGAAATTAAACAATAGATGTTCTGTAGAATCTGTATATTTCTCACAAAACAAACACAATGGACCTTCCAAATCTACTAACAAGCCATTTTTCAGCAGATTTTCATCTATTAGTTATTAGTGAACGAATTACACAATGTAAATTATAAATGAAAATGATTATCAACCATTAAATATGGTTATGAACTATTAATTGCATTTGAACAATTGATCCAAATAAATAATATATTTGATTTGAGAGAAATAAAGGCAAGAGTAGAGAAGGGATGAGTTTTTTAATAAATTAAATTATAATATTTTTAAATATTGCAATTTGATTTGTTAAAAAATCCCTTCATCCCTCCCCTTTGTTTCCTTTAAACCAAATATACATTTAGATATCACAAAGATTAAGATTTAAGATCTTGAGTCCCTGTATCAAAGATTATAAGTTCAAATATTGAGATAAGTTGAAATTTAAGAAAGAATAAAATAACTATAAAACTATCTTTCATTGTATAATCTAAAATTAAGAGAAAATGAAGCATTCGAATTTAAAATCATTAATTAACCCCATGTTTAATCATCTAAGGGAGGCCTTATTAAGGACTTTAAGGGTGAGTTTGGATTAAGGATTTGGAGTGGAATGGGAGAAGAATGAGATTTCTTCTCTTAGTGTTTGACTTAATTCATCAATAGAGATAGAGGGGGAGGGAGATGAACTGGGCTGATGGACCTCCTCCATTCCTTTGTTTTCCATTAGTCCAAAATTTAAGGTATTCTGAAGGATTGGCTCAATATTAGGTCTTTTTTCATTTTTTGAAATAAGTATATAATTTTTTTTATTTTAATGATTTATTTTTAAAAAATATAATATAATATTTTTTAAAATTATTTAATTAAATAAAAAAGTATTATCCTTCCATCTTCTCTAGTTTTATTTATCAAAACGAGATTCCTTTTATTAATTTTTATCAAAAAAAGAAAAAGAAAAAGAAAAAACCTAAAACACCCAATGACTACATTTTCATATGCTTTTAACTTATGAACGTGAATTAGTTGTGGGGCTTGGCAATATCATGTGGATGCATTTGATGTACCATGAATCCTGAGATGGCAATCCCCATGTTTGTTCTACACTTCTACTCCGCTTCAATTACACTCAAACAAAAATTAAGGAGTACTATTAAATTGGTAGAAGAGAAAAGGAGAAAACAAGGATACTGCCCAGAATCACATTCAAAAGAAAGCCGTAAAGGACAAATTAATCCTCATCTCCTGATCGATTGAAATTTGTTAGAGGTTATGAAAGGATAATTTCTCACAAACTCTAAAGTTATTTGAATTCAAATCTATTACTAAACTTACTCTATAAATGAAGATTTACAAGCTCTTAAAAATTTAATTTCAAGTTGTTAATGATAATTGATTAATTATTACAATCATATATCAATCACATTTAGACTTTTATCCCGTGCAAGATTGGGGGAGTCACAAACTCTTTAAGTGCAATATCAGTAACTTGACTTTAATTATAACCAAATTAGATGGAAGTTTAGTTTAAGTTGTAAAAAGTTAATTCAAGATACTACTTAATGACGAAAAAAAAAAGGAAAAGACAAGCCAACTTGTTAATTGTAGAGGGGAAGGTGAGGTGAGGTGAGGAGAGGAAATATTGAGTGGTAGTTGCATTTGGAATGGTAGGCAAATCCGGAAGGCCAAAAGCAAATTGTTAGTGATTGAAGAAGTCACAAACGAAGTATTCAATTCTATCTAAAAGATTATGGAACCAATCATGAGTGTTTTAGATTTAAAAGAAAAAAGTATTCAATTCATCTAAGTAAAATGAGGTGTCCTTTTCTTAAATCGAGTCAAACTTGGAACGTGAAAGCATTAGAGAATATGCCACCGTCCACCTGCATATGCGCTGGTTGCCACCCGACTGCCAAAAATATCTACATATGGAAAAAGGAGAGAGTTGGAGCTCATGGATCATGCAACTTGGGAAAATCAAATACCTTTTTCCATTTTTCAATTGTGATTTGCTGTAATG